TCGCAGAAGCGACCTTTCTGCGCTTGCCACATAGAAAGCCAGGGACCCGTCTGTTATGAATTACGTCGCCTCAGTTTGATCCGTTGGCACCATCGACGAGCGTTGGAAGAACTTCCAGACTTGCCAAACCACCGTCCTCGTAACCTTACCCGGTGTCTCAAAATACGTCAGCTCTCCGTGAAGGAGCACAACGTATCACCCCGAATACAACTTAATGGACAAAGCCGCACCAGCAAGGGGGGCATCAATCACTTACCCCCAATGCTGTCATCACAATCGTCGTCATCAACGGGCGCACCGAAAATATTGTCCTTGGAGGACGCCCTCCACATATCGAAATGAGAATATATATGAAACAGATCACTTCGGGAGAAACAAGTGGCCTCATGCATAAAACGTGACTCGATTTTCAGTACAAATTCTTAAGCTAGAGCTAAAATCATAAATGAGACCTAAGGTCTTTCCTGGCTGAACTTAGGATCGGCTGGAACAGCAGACCAAATAGATACATTCTTAGGCTGGACAGTGATATCGTGATTGAACTAATGCAACTAACTTTTCTTCTTATTTGACGCTGTAACCGCCCATGCGATTTTGGCCGAGTTAACAAAGCCGGTATTTTCTCTTCTGTGCCAACTGACGCCAATTGGAAATGCCAAGTGATGCCAAGTTCTTCTTCACCTGGTCGTTCTAACGCAGAGGAGGCCTTCCTCTTCCTCTGTTACCAGCATCGCGGCCCGCGTTGAATAATTTCAGAGCAGGAGCGTTTCTGTCCATTCGAACGACATGGTCAAGCCATGGGAGCCGCTGTATTTTAATTCGCTGCACTATATCCATGTCGTTTTAAAGCTCATACAGCTGATTGCTCCATCGTCTGCGGTACTCGCCGTCGCCAACGCGTAAAGGGCCGTAAATCTTGCGCAAAATCATTCTCTCGAATACTTCAAAGATCAGCCTCATCGGATGTTGCTTTCGTATATCGAGAGAGGAATTTACTTCTGAAGAAAACGAAATTCGCGATTTTCCCGAAATTATAACTGTCAACAGTGAGGAGATATTTCGTCTTGTCCTCGTTATCGTATGAAAATTGGAAAAGGCAGAATAGACTTCGCGGTTTTACCGATGATGTCGATGTCATTGGCATACGCCAACAATTGAACGCTCTTGTAGTAAATTGTTTCTGAGGGGTAAGTTCTGTAGTTCTTAATATCTTCTCCAACATCAGATGAAGGAAATCATATGAAAGGAAGTCGCCCTGTCCCAACCTAGAGTTTAGTGGTTGCTGAGGTAATCGTACTTATTGTGCTTACATTGAATCAATCTTTTGACTTAAGCCGATGTTAACTCTGCTTCAAGGCCACGAAATAGGCTTCCAACAAGTAACCTGCATCATAAGTCTAAATTTGGGAAAAGGATATCAGGGCATAACTTAGTTCAATGAAGTGTAGTTCACAATGTCTTCATAGTTCCCTTCGTGATGAAGATCTGTATAGTCGACAGTCCAAGTCTTCTAAGCGATGCAAATGGAGATTGATATTAGTTTCACGGGTTTTAAGCCTTAGGTGGTATCCGACGGCTACTTTAAGAACTTATTCGGTGCTGGCTCTTAACTTGGATCATATATGAATCCTAAAAGATTCATACAAGAGTAAACAATTTTTTGATTTTGAAACTCATATTTCTTACCTACCTGGGACTCCTTTCGGACTCATACATATATTCTGAACGCTTAGAATATGTTTGCGGGATTATGACTCCAAATGTTTGCTGGGTTTGACAATTTATTTGAATGTATTGGCTGATATTTTTTCACCTTTGTCGTTTTCTTTAACCCATATGAAATCCAATTTCAATATTTTCTTATAGTGAAAAATATTTTGAAGTCACAAAAAAAATAAAATAACGAGAAAAACAAAATTCCAAGCAAATCAGGCGTGAAGCGTAGGCGATTAAGATCGGATGCAGTTCTTGCATAAGTCATACCGAGTTCCGAATACAACTTTGAGTTAATAATGGTGGGCTGACTTTGGAAAATGGTCCCATCGGTTGGGGGTAAAACAAGTATTACTTGGCTTAAAGGTGGAACTCTCTTATTTTCAAATATACCACTCTTATAGTGGAGACCTCCATAGCATTTATGAAATATGTACACAAAGTTATATTTCGACACTCGAACAAATGCACGGAATTTGTATGTATTTGTTCAGCCGCTTATTCTCATTTGAATGAGGATAATGCATGAGTTAAAGCAAATAAAAACGGTTTATGCAGATAAGCGAGCCCGTTTGTAAAACGTATAAAATATATATACACATATGCTTACATACATATTTATAAAAATATTCAGAATGACGAGATGAATTGCTTCAGCCGTATCTGTTTGTAAACACGCTAACTCGAACCAAATTTAGATATTTTAACGAAAGTCTGTTGCGAAGTTTCCTTTGGTATAATTTAGTTTAGTATTAAATTATGGTGGCGGCCGCTGTGGTGTAGTGGTAAGCACTGCGCGCTTCCACTCGGCAGGGCCTGGGTTCAAGCCCTGGTCAAAGCAATATTGTAAAAAAATTTAGAAAAAAAAGTTTTTTCTTAACAGCGGTCGCCGCTCGGTAGGCAATGGCAAACCTCCGCGTGTATCTCTGCCATGAAAAACAGCTTCTCATAAAAATACAATCGGCGTTCGAAATCGGTGTAAAATTGTAGATCCCTCCCCTTTGTGTGGCAACATCAAGGCGCACACCACAAATCGGAGGAGAAGCTCTGCCAAATACTAACATTTGTGTAAGCCTCAGTCTATTATTATTATTACATTTTGAGGAAATCTGTCAAACACCACGCCCACCTCCCATGTAATAATTAACAATATTTTTGTTTTATTATTATTTTTTTACGAATTTCGCTGTTCAAATTTACATTTCAAATATATCAACAAGTATTTGTGGGTACTTTTGCACCAGTCGGTGCCTATGGGTTAATGACAAAAAAATGCTATACATGCACAATATTTCATGTATTAATTTTCAAATAAGCATATTATCAAAGGCTGGTTTACTGTATACTGTGGTATTATCCTACCCGTCATCTCTGTTGACCATCCATGTAGTTATTCTTCAGTCAGAAATTTTCAAGATGATAGCGGAATACTCGCAGTCAGAGCGGTACTGATAGGTTATAACTAAACCACAACCGACCGACATTACATTCTTTTTTAGCCAATATTAAATAATAAATTTTAATTAAGTTCTTTAAATTAAAAGCAATAACAAACAATATTTTTTTTTTGTGTTTTCCACAGAGTTCCTCCACCGATGGCGCATATCTACCCCGCCATGTCGGTCTTCATTGTGGCATACCCATTGAAACGCCTGCACTTGGCGTAAACCGCCTCTGCGGCTCCGGTTTCCAGTCGATTGTGAATGGCGCGCAGGATATTCTTCTCGGCAGCGCGAAAGTTGCACTCGCCGGTGGTGTGGAAAGTATGTCACTGGCGCCAATGATTGCGCGCAATATCCGTTTCGGCGTCACATTAGGTGGCAACTACAATTTGGAAGATGCTTTATGGGCAGGTCTCACTGATACATACTGCAAATTGCCCATGGCTTTAACTGCCGAAAATTTGGCGGAGCAATTCAAAATCACAAAGGAACGCGTCGATGAATTCTCATTGCGTTCTCAGCAAAATTGGGCAAAGGCACAGAAGGAAGGCGCCTTTAGTGCGGAAATTGCGCCAATTAAGTTGAAGGTGAAGGGAAAGGAGGTGGATTTTGTTATCGATGAACATCCCAGACCACAAACAACAATTGAGGGATTGGCTAAGCTGCCGTCGTTGTTCAAGAAAAATGGCGTCGTTACTGCTGGCACAGCTTCGGTAATAAGCGAGAATATTTACATAAATAAATTATATTAATGGGTGTTTTATGACAAAGCTAAATACATACTCTTACAGGGTATTAGTGATGGTGCCGCTGCTGTTGTAATTGCTTCTGAAGAAGCCGTCAAGGAGTATAATCTTAAACCACTAGCACGTTTGGCCGCCTACTCATTCGTTGGTGTGAAACCCGAAATTATGGGTTTCGGTCCTGTGCCGGCCATACAAAATGTGCTGAAAGTTAGCGGTAAAAAATTGGAGGACATCGACTTGATTGAGGTACATACATACGTACATACATATCTAATATTGGGGAGTAATATTATCTTTTGTCTCAGTATTAACTTAAGCTCCTTTTTTGCAGATCAACGAAGCTTTTGCCGCACAAACTCTGGCATGTGCTGATGCGCTAAAATTAGATGTTTCAAAGTTGAATGTTAATGGGGGCGCTATTGCCATGGGTCATCCTTTGGGCGCGAGTGGTGCAAGAATTACAGGTCATTTGGCGCACGAAATGCAGTGAGTATATTGAAGGGATGCAAAAGTAGATTCGTATATTTATTGTATGCAACTTCATTTTTTATAGACGCAAGAACTTGAAGTACACAATCGGTTCCGCCTGCATTGGTGGTGGTCAAGGTATAGCGGTATTGTTGGAGTCTGTTTAAAAAAGGCTGTGAAAACTAAACGTTAAAAATGCATTTATATATTTTCGACTATTTTTAAACCGTGATAAAACACAAACATAGTTCTGGGCGTAACTTTTCATAACTTTTAAAATTATAGTTATAAATCCTATGTAGTTTAAATAAAAAGTTCAAAAGAAATTATAACCAACCTATCGCTCGTAAAAATTAAATGTATGCACATATTTTTGTAACAATACACTATGCCAACCTTTTAGCACTTGGGTTTTTGAACAGATCATTAAAATATGGCATGCTAAAAATTAGAAATAGTTTTTCGCATTTTCTGACGAACGTGTCTCTTCTGACGACGGTGTGCCATGCATGGCGACTAGTGTCAATTTACCGGTCTAGTAGCCATGGCTACCATTATCGTACTTATGTCCGTGGTAACCTGCGCATTGAAGCGAAGGGGCGTTAGAAAGTGCAATCAAGCGACGACGAGTTCGACAAGGAATATATACGCCCGACGCGAAATATTTAGATAGCATTTTAGAGTACAGGCAGCGCGCAGGTGAGGAGTACATCGAGGGCAATTCAATTTTAGTATAAAAAGGTCAAGTTTTAAGTGGTTAAGAAATCGCTTGGAGTTTTAATACCTAGTTAATAAAATTTGCTAAGAATTGGAGTCTCTACTGTTTGATTTCAGAACACAATCTCTCATTTAGTAGGAATTTGACCTACACAGACCAGTGTAGTGCACATAAAACGAAATCTTTTCTTTGTGTGGAGAACCCAGTAGCCGTTGAGCATACTCCAGCTCGAACCCGGAATCCGTCACGAATTCATATACTTGTATATGTCAACCGCAAAATTGCGGAGTTCAACCTAACTGTAGCATTAGGCAAAAGGTCTTGCCCTCCATGCTGAAATGTTTAACTAGATTTCTACATGGAGAATGTGATCAGTGCCAAAAGCCACAGAATCCTGTCAAAGACGCTTACCAATAAAAACGGATATCAGGGCCTTAAGTGCGTTGGAGGTGCGCTCTAATTTGGTTGAGGAATGTCTGCTCTCTCTCGCTCAGTGGCGCCAGAAAACGTTTGTATATTAGGCTCATTCGGGCTCCAGGTCACAGCGACATTGCGGTAAACTATGTTTCTGAAGAATTGGCTAGGAAAGGTACCCCTGAAACGTTATCGCTGGATAAAAAGATGCTGGGGGTGCCATTCATAACATGTGGTACACTCTTGAATAGATGGGCCTCAGGTCGGCTCAGCGAGCGCAGGACCAAAACTAGGGCATCGCGATTGCAAGGTCCTTCTGGCTGGAGGTGAACGGGGCGCGTTGGGGGTTTTAACGGGTCAATGTCCAATCGGTATTCATGCAGGAAGGCTGAACAATATACCTGATACCGCATGTCGCAATTTGCCTGGAATATAGCGAGGTGGTATCAGCTCAACACTGTGCACCGTTTGCGAGACTAAGCCGAATTCTCAATTACATAATCGGCTCTAGGCGTTACATCGATGAAGAAGATAATATCCTATTTGTCCAAGTGAGTCCCTGAAAACTGGAACTGCCCCATAACCTAACCTAATGAAGTAATGGCTCCCTTGCAAATGGCTGTGAAGAAATGCTTACCCTGCTTGCAGATCGCAGCCATACAGGACTTTTAGAACACTGTTCAACGAAGACAAAAAGCAAGTTGGTCACGATCTATTTGCAGCCCGTTTAATGTCTTCATAGAGAACTCATCCACTTAATGGCAAGATGTATCGGTAGCTCCCAAAAGTAGCAAGTACATTAACAGATGAACCAAGACGAAATCGATTTACACGATTGTGAACAAGCATACATACTTAAATATTAGAGATTTTACTTAGGCAAAATCTCTTACATTACCAACTAGCGATGTCACCAGTTCATGCTTGAGAAACCCAAATAGTTTGTCATAGGTTCCGTCTCAACGACAACACTAACATATGTATATTCGGAACAAAGTAGTGGGTTAAAGAATATGGCACTAAATTTCAAAAGTACTGAAAACTAGAGCGTCTATTGAAGGACTTGACTAACCTTAGGCTTTAACCATTCAGGTAGAACGCCGTCGGATTCAGGGTATCACTTGTGCGCCACTGAAAAGCTTTTCTCAAGTGTCCTCTGCACGTCAGTTTCTAGATGTCCCTTATTTGTGCAGGAACCATCCTCGGTTTTTAAACCATCCGATTTCGGCCTTACTTTCTGGTAAAATTTGTGGATCAGCAAGGCATATAGCCGTCTAGGCTGCAACAAGGTATTTGTCCAAGCCGATGTTGGCACTTCGAATGAAACGTGAGAAAAGTATTCTCGAAGCATATCTTCCGTCTATCACAACGTGTTTTATGTATTTTGATTTTCATTCTTCGATCATAGTATACCCAAATGGGTTTATTGATGCTGCGACGCAGGTGTTTGGCACTACTAACTACCGTGTTCCTGCCGCAACAAAGTCGATGAGCCTCTGTCGAGAATATCGAATTTTCCGACTGTTGGATCAGCCTCCTCTATCCACTATGGCATTAAAGTCGCCAATGACAGCGGTGGCAGTGCTCATATACAACCACAGGGAGTTCATAGAATTGCTATTTTATCTCAGCGTTCGTCATTTAGCTTTGATAGGGGTTTTGGCCAATTATTCTCTAAGCGAGATTAGGTATCAAAGTCTCAGCCCAACCACGACTGACACTAGTGATGCCAATAGGAGGAAAATTCCCCGATTTTGGTAGAATTTTAATTTCTGATGGGACTTGGGGAATGGATTTAAATTTTGTGGAAACGATTTTGATTAGAACATTCCTATTGAGGATAACATTGCATTTATAAATTACAAATTGTGATAACAATCTCTCTTAAAAAAATTGCAACTAAGCATACCGAAATTTTTCACTTTTTCCACGTTTTCGTTTGACACTCACTTTTCTCGTTTCTTTTTGGCCACCAAGTCATCGTAGTAGCTTTTTATATTATAAACATGAACTGTTAAAAGGAATGTCCTTATTACATACATACTTACATATATCACAATTAATGGTATTTTTTTTTTTTTTTTAATAAATAAAATGAGCCTGAAGTGCCTTAAATATGTAGCAAAATTAATTTTGGGGAAATTTCATTGAGAATAGCGAACTTTTTCAGAAATTTCGGGGAATTAGCCCCAGGTGAGCTGGTATCCCTGACTCCCACAAAAAAAAAAAATAATCACTGTACACTCAATTTTGAAGTTAGTAATATATTACCATATACATACATATATACATATGTAATTATATACGTATCGCTCATTTACTGCTTTATCTTCATCTTTATTCTTCGTTTATCCTGATCTTCATCTTCATTCTTTTTTTCATCTATAGACATATTCTCCCACACCTTTGTCATTACCCTGCAGGAAATGTGTCTAACTATAAGCTAACTTTATGTTGATTAGGAAGGAGCTAAAAGTCACTTATTGTCTGTATATTTTCTTTGACGAAAACTAACTATATTTCTATGGCAATGACCGCGAAATAGTCAAGGGTGGTTTACATCTGTATTAGATGTAGTCAAGGGTGGTTACCTCTGCATTTGATGCAACTAATTTGTAACTAACTACTTTTGGACATAAAACATCAATAGGAAAACAAAATATTTTTTTTATTTTTTATTTTATATACTTTATTTATTTTATTACATTTCACATTTGTTTCCATGTTCTTCTGTAGGTGGTCCCATATTCGAACTCCGTCAGACATAACTTCAAAATGCTAATATGAAATTTCGATCTCCCTTTTATTTATATATACATATATATATATATATATATATATATAATTTATATATTCAGTATTTAAATGTACCTTTTTCTGTGTTTTTATCTTTAGCGTTCTTTACTTTTATATTAATTTTTGTCTTTATCCCTTCCTTCTTCTACATACTCAACTTTTCATTCGTCCGTACATGAATCTAACCCTGGCATTCAGTAAGCGGTCTCTAGTCACTAATAGTGACTTTTGGTGGTGAACTTGGATTTTGAGACTATTTGGTATTCAGTACGCTGTCTCACGTCTCTAGTCTCAAAAGTAAGTCACTAATTTGTCAGCTGGCTAAGAGCCGGTCACAAAAATAGAAGCATGGAGGAAAAGCTTATTTCTTTCCATTTTATTAAAAAAAAAAAACACGAAAATGAAGCGAGGAAATTTGTTCAACAACAATTTCATTAGGAAATAAACCAAAATGCTTTAATATCATACAAATGTATTGAAAAAAATTTTATTTTTTTGTTTTTAAAACATTTAAATCTAAAGATTGTTAAAAAAATAAAACTAACAAAAAAATAAAATAAAAATAAAAAAATCCTCTACGGCCGAGGAGGACTTGAACCCGGACCTTCTCGGCTGCCAGCCTAATGCTTTGACCACTCAGCCATTGCGACTCTTTGAGCGGCGCGGGCAAAAGGCCGTTGACTGTCTGTGTTTGCTTTCACCACACATTTTTGGTGAACTTTTTGTGACTCTCCCCTTCTGAATACCCAAATCGTCTCAAGTCACAAAAATAGTCACTAATTGCTAGTCTCAAATTCAGTGACTTGAGATGAGACTGAATTACTGAATCCCAGGGTTAATCTACATAAATCTTATTCCTAAACTGCTTATTATTATTACTTATTTATAAATTAAAAAAGTTTTTTTTTTGTGAAATGAAGTTTGCTTTTGCATAAATGTATCCAATATATTTAGTATATTTGGACATAAAGTTGTTATATAAAATTAAGAAAAATTATGGTTTTAATTAATCTGCGTTGCACAGCAGTAAGTAATAAGTGTACGTGAAAATTTAATTTAATTTGATATCTATTTTTTTATTTCTTTTTTTGCAGGTTTTTTTTAATTCGTTCTTTCGGTAAACCGAAAAGATCAGGTATTTAAAACAGTTTTTTAGACGGTTTAAAACATGAATAAAAAACCGTGATTAATCAAAAGACCGATTTTTGGAAACGGCGCCCATTCCTAACACCACTTGGAGCTGCACCTACTAGTGAACAGACAGTTTTGACCCCCAAGCCGAATAACTCATCTTTCTTCCGTGAACCAAGACGGTAATCCTCATCTCGCACAAAAGTTCTCACGTTGACTAGAGTGAACGAACGCCGGCGCAAGTGTCGAGGTTGAGGATAACCAGAAGAATTGTAGTCGTTAAACTAACCCTGGTATTCAGTAATTCAGTCTCATCTCAAGTCATTAAATTTGAGACTAGCAA